CCCCAAAACCCCAAAACCCCAAAACCCCAAAACCCCAAATCTTTTAAAATAATTGATTTTACACAATGGATGATGAATATTACAAAAGATCTTATAGAGCACCTCCAGGTGCTCGCCAGCACTTACAAAAGGAAAAAGAACAACAACAAGTAGAGCATATGAACGAGCTGTATGAGTTGGTTATTCGTAAATAAAAAAGGAAACAAGGAGCCTCTGCTTGGAGATAATGAAATCGGCCCAGAATCTAAAGAAATCAAAATTAATATTGAGCAGTTGAAAGGTAAGTGCTTATGAGTCCTTGGATATCTTTGAAGATTTATTCAACTAAATTGTATAGGATATCATGAGAGAGGAAACACTGCAGAATGGAATGAAATTCCTCAAAATTTCATCATCCCAGAAAAACCAAAGAAGAAAACTGGCTGAACGAAATATTGTTATGTTGAGCATTATACAAAATACTTTGAAGTAACAACTAAAGAGGTTCTCGTTAGGATAGTAAAGTCTCTCTTTCCGATAACCAGAGGATCAATCTACTCAGAAGGTAAGGCATATCCATTTTTACAGAGATAATTTAATTTAGATACTCTCAGACCTGACATGTATGGTCCTCTTTGGACAATGATATGCCTTTTTGTTATGATTCCTATCTTTGGAAATATTAACCAATATTTGAAAGCATATCAGCAAGGTGAGTTGGATAAGTACATTCCAGATCTCAGCAATATCTGGGCTTTAATGTCTTGTCTGTTGATCTACTTCTTGCTTGTTCCTTACATTCTTCACACAATATTCAGGTTTGGCTCTGGCTTTGGAGCTGTTGACTCAAGATATTTCTTCATTGCTTCGATCTATGGATACTCTTTCACACCATTTACTATTGGAGTCTTTTTCCATACCATTCCTTATCCTACTGCTGAGTGGGTTTCCCTCTTATTGCCAGCTGTATCAAGTATTGTCTTCCTGACAAAAGAACTTCTTGGCTTTGCAAGTGCTGCTCTCAATAGCAAATGACTCAAACTAGTTGCCATAATGATGGGTTTAGGCCATATCGCCTTTATCGCAATGCTAAAATGGCAATTCTTATAAGCTTTTCAAGCAGAAATGTCCTCTCCGGGGTTTTGGGGTTTTGGGGTTTTGGGGTTTTGGGG